TAAAAGGAAAGGGAGAGGGGTTTTGGGCACAAGAGAAATGCGAAGAGTGCACGAGGAAGGAGGGAGTGATTTCAACATTCACCTGGTTGATGTTTATAATGCAAAAAACAATTAGCCTCCTGTATGGCAGGCATTTCCCTCCCTCCTTCCCTCACATTTCTCTTGCACCAAGACCCACTTTCCCTTTTCTTTGAAATGCCTGCCACACAGGCTAAGTGATGTCATTCAATCTGTTTACCCGTTTACACTGTTTAATATATATCAAACAATTTGCATATTTTGGTGGCTTTAGTTAAAATATAAATTGCTTGATCATTGAATGTGCTTTTGATATTGGAAAACCAAGGCTGAAAAAATGGTGACAGGGAAAGGAAATAGAAAAAGTGGAACAATGGGGCAGTAAAATCATGAGACTAAGAACCTGAATTAACTAAGTAAGCCTAAACAGATTCTTATATAAATAGTAGTTAGCACAAGTTTAGGCTATTTAGGTTTTTAAATGGGTTCATATTTTCTGAAGTAAAAATGTAGCTAAGAGTATTTGTGTTTCACCTTATTCCTCATATAAAGTCTGCATACCAAATTAGAAGTTATGTGAGAATGGACATAAAAAGAGGAATGTATTTAAATTTAAACATTGGTATTTACATTGCAGTTGGAGTGATAAGACAGCTTTGTTTCCAAAGAAGATTCTAAATGTTGATTTATCTCTGCTCAAGTGTACAGAATTTTTTCATAGATTTCAAAAATAAGAACCTTCTGTTTCAAATTTTAGGCTAAACAGGTTTTTATATAGAGGGGGCTCATCTGGCATAATTTTATTTTAGCTGAACAGGTTCTTGAAATTCAGGTTCTAAGTCGGGGGGTTTTACTGTACCACGAGGATCCACCTCTGCAATAACTGGTAACCCAAAAGCCCTCTTTACGGACAACGGCTTCATACAGACACCTGATCAAGGCTGTGCTCTAGCAGAGCCCTGTGGCCCCTGGCACCTAACTTTTGCTTTTGGGTGACTAGAAAATCTCAGACTTTTCATACAAATCATATGCTGGGCAGCCTAGATTTTACAGGTTCAGAGAACTAGGCTCCTTTCAATGTTCCTTAGAGCACAGCCTTGCTCATCATTACAGATAGCTTGCTTTGTTCCCTGGAAAAAAGCCCTTAAATTTTCTCTAAATTAAGATGGTTAATTTCTACAGTCCCCTCAGTGTCTGTATAACAGAGTTGACTGTGAGTATGATGAGACCTATGACACCATATTTAAATTATAAAATTGTGGTGAGGAGAAAGGAAAGGGGTCTCAAGCTATGTTGCCCCCCAGCCCTGATTACAGGAGATTTGTAAACATGTATGAATTTCACATTTTGAAGAGTTTTTATAATCCAAAAAAATAGGTGATAACATGTGTTTGTACATACTGACACAATCATTAAACAAATATTGGCTGCAGCTTTTAAAATCTATTGACTGCATCAGGCTTTGTAATCACAAATATGCCATTTTCAGTTTCAATCCAGTTATAAGACATTCTATGACTCATACCAATAGAAAAATATGGCAAATAAAGATGCTCAATATTATAGCGGAGCTCCACGCGCGCGCGAAGCGCGCGCGTGGGCGGAGCCCCATTGCTAAGTAAATCTACCCATCCCAGAAAATTTGGTAATCACGTGACCGTACACCGACCGCCCGCCGTCCGTCCGCACCACAGGAAAACCAATGTTTACTCTCACACTTTTAGCTAGTTTGGGAGCCCAAGAGAAAACTAATTGCACAGGCTGCACATCAATGTTGTGATCAATTGACAGCTATCAAAACATGGCATCCGCTGACAAGTATCACCTGGCCGTACCGCGGGCTCAAGTGTCGACCCATCGAGGTCGAGTATTTTTTTAAAGTTATCCGCTGATAAATTACCAGTTTCAAATGATCGCAGGCTCAAGTTTATTTTTTCCAAGGATTCATATCAAATATGTTGTGTTTATGTCACTATGGCCCCGCACTATTAGGATTTTGATTTCAAACTGACCTCGGAAGCGAAAATTCATCCAGTCTTTTTAAAAGTACAGGCGGGGAAGACCTTATCTTACCATGGTCACGCGTTGGTCACGCTCTACGTCCAATTTTTATGCTCTGATTGGTCAAAACTTGACAGGTGAGTTTATGCGGAAAAATTATGCAGCATCTTGAAAGTAGTTTACTTTGACAGCTGAAGCTGACAGAGTTTTGTGTCAACTTGTGATGTTTTTAACTGTCTTTTTCCTCTGGAGGTAAAAAATGAAATACAGCTGCTATCAAGAGTCTTCTGTTATTCATGGCTGGTTTGTTTACCGGGTTTTGGTTGAGAAATGCGTCGCTTGTCAAAATTCGGTAATTCGATTTCGGATGGCATCGTTTTCGTTTTTCATCTTGCTTAATGCGTAAGAGGGTTTAAAAGTCTCAAGCAACTGTGGTTCCCTTGATAGCTTTCAGGAACTGAATCTCGAATGGTAAGCCTAAGGAATTATTGTATTTGATGTTTGTGTTTCATGAAGTCTTGCACTGTTCACGCTGACAGTTTATGCGTTAAGTTTATGCACGTTTGCAGGATTTGAGTCAATGATCTGACCTAGTAGCAGGTTTCATATAAGCTTACAGAACTTTAAAAAGCCTTCAGATATATTTGCTCACCACAAATAGAAAGAAAACGTTCCGAAGGATATTTAGTTATAAATTTGGCTGTAGAAAGAAAACTTTGAGCGATTTTCTTGCTTCGAGGAGTTCACTTTCGAAAACAGTAAACACCGCGCTGGGAAGCCGGCTAAAACATAAACTTAAGCTTTACGCTGAAAGACTCAGGATTTTTAGAGACACTTTAATACTTGTCTTCATGAATGAAAATTCTTGTCTCTGTAAATGTTTCACGGAATTATATCTCTTTTTTTGATTGTTAGTAGTCTCTCTTGCAATTTTAATCGCTTGTCCGTGCCGTTTGTTTTCATCGTTCATGACCATCGTTTGCAGGAGTACTCAAAAATGTCGCGCGTATCAAACGCTTTATAAGATTACACATCGTTATAACGGAAACCATTAAATAACAAAACAAATAATAATAAATTCGCTATTATGTTGAAGCGTAACTCTGTTAAAGTTCATTCAAACACTCGACCACACTGACAGCTCGCACTATAGAAACGAGAACCAGCTGGCTGTATGGGTGATTTTGGAAATTTTCTGAAATTTTTGAACGGTTTGGCTCGTCCCGAATATTGACTGAGTGCAACTTGTCTTGAAAAATTGTGAAATACCGCATTCTGTCCGAGCTCTGTATGATAAATAGTACTGTTTCACCTCAAATGTGGTGTATAAAAATTATAAAAGGTTGGTTTAAACACCCCCAGATTTGTTGGCAAGAATTTGTAAAGTAAACCTGTCGAACGCAAAAAAATTTGGCGTGATTTGTTTTCCAAGAATTTGTTTTCGAGGCCTAATCTACTGTGATCTTGAATGTGATCGAAGATGTTTGCTATTTTTTGGGTGTACATATAATGTTATCAATTCGATGTAAGATGTTTCACTCTAAAATAACTTAGCCTTTCCCTCAAAAGTCACGTGAATGTGCCCTTAAGTTGAATGATTTGTGGATTAAAAGTTTGTTGTTTGATTTAAATTATAAATTTATTACAGTTGGAGCTTCGCTTTTAGCCCTGGCTAAATCTATATATTATTATCTATAAAGAGGACACAAGTTCACTGTACACAAATACTCTCTACTTTATTTACTTGTCTTCATGTGATGATAAATACAGATGTTAAGCAAAACGAAATGCAGACTTGGTGCCAACAGAGAAACAAGTCCTCGAAACGATGACCCCCTCAACTTCGATTCTCTTACTACAGCTAGCAAGTGAACATCTTGCAATGCTGAATGACAAAACAAAATAAGCTCACTGTGTTTAAATACCGTTGCCGGGTATTCTGAAGAAGCTCCTAGTATTGTATGAGTATATCACAGCTATGCACATCAGTACCTCTTAGCACTAGTTGCACTGATTTCACGGTGAATTAAAAAATTTTCGGCGAACCGCGGGTCTTACCTCCAGTGCTTTTCATGATTGAAGCATTGAACAAAGCGTTTCTGTGCCGACTTTTCTCGGTCAGTTGCAAACAGGATGCAAGTGATTACGAACAAAATACACCAGAATACACTTATCAACGGAATGAGACTGTTTTTTCCCTGAGAATTGGACATTCTTTCTTTTTCAAGGGCTTCCGGAGGACATTCAAAGCAAAATCGTATATATCTACAGCGTAATTAACGAATATTCACTCCGCAGTCGTGATGTTCACTCCACGCCATCTTGAGACAAATGATCAGATTTTGAATACCGCCCATGATGCTTAGCGATCGTAGTGCGCACACCGCCTGATTCTGTACTAAGACATTGGAATTTTTCAGTCAGTCATTTAGGCATTCAGTCAGTCAATGACCAACCTATCAGACATTAGTAACTTGGTCAGTCAGTCAGTCTATGTAAAACAAGTCAATTATCAATCAGTCTTTCAGTCAGTGATATATCTGCCAAATAACACAGAATGTTTATTCAATATCAAAGACAAATGGTTACAGACTGCTTTTCCCACAAATAGCAGGGGTTAATGTAGACAGGTAGAGCAACCTAGGCTGTTGAAACAAAAGTAAAAAAATGAATTGTAGTGATCCCAAGAGTAATAAAGTATCCAAACAAACAGATTTAACTCAACCAATGTCATTGCAAACGTAACATGGCTGCCGCTATCAAAAGCACATGGTTTTTCCTATCCCAGCATACTCAGCGGCCTAATACATTACATCTCTCCTTTCCTCAGAAAAATGCTCCTCTACGTGAAAAAGAAATCTCCACTAACAATAACGTCAACTATACTAATGATAAAGTCTCTTCTTCTAAAATACGCAAACAGAAACTTAAATGTTCAAACTGTACATAGTTCTGAAGAGAGAATCAGTGTTCATGTTCCC